GCGTCGAAATGTGGAACCAACGGCAATAGGACGGATACCGTTATCCTTTTTTTTGAAGGCACATAATCTTGCCCCATATAAGAATGGAATGAAATTTGGATTAACATTACCAGAAAGCATAAAGTTACATAATTTTGTAATGTCTTTAAGAAGTACTCCGCCGGCGTCACCGGCAGAAGCGCTTACAAGATCTTTAAGATGTTGAGGCGTAATTCCGTCAATGCCGCCAGCAGAGCCATTCGAAAATGACATAATTGCTTCTAAAGTGTCTTTTTCCGAAATTTGTAAAGGTTGCATAGATGTCTTGGGAGGCAGCGGTAAACCCTGAGACGGTTTGACCGAAGGATGCTTTTGACGAAGGCTTTCAAGAGTTTCGACATTACGAGGAGCCAGGATGTCGTCTGAGAATAAAATACGGGATGCATTTTTTAAGTAGCCATCCATTACTTTCGACTCAACTACTTTTTTTAAATCAAATTTAGGACGTGGTCGAGATAAATGAGTATTAATTGAGTAATCTAAATTTTGAAAAGATGTCTCTTTTAGTTGAGACGTAATTGATTTATTTATTGTTTTATCAAAATGAAAATGAGAATACGCGAAAGTAAATAATTTTTGCCAACTATTTTCACTATTAGCGAAACAATTTTGAATAGTACATGACAATGCTTTAGCAAGCTGCATCCTCGCACCTCTAGGAATTCTTTTAACCACTGGTACATTACGATAATAATTGTAAATTTGCTCCGAAAAAAGGGAAACATTTGTGTCATTAGAGGAATTGCTAATAAAGTTATGAATTTCTACGGCAGGCTGTGAAGCCGAAATACTTTTACTATGGCATCGTTTAATATGTATATTTAATCCCCTTTTACCTTTAAACAGCCTACCGTCAGCACAATTTTGACACTGTAGGAAATCCGGCTGTGAATGTAGAGGAGCAGAGATATTCATTAAAAAATCTAAACAGATCTCTACAACACTCAAAAGTCTTTATATTACATATTCATATTAACTTGAAATGTGCTGTACCCCGCATCTTTCCCTGAAACAATCATTTACGGCCTAAATAAAAGCACTTTACTCTATAAATGAAATATTATTACATTACTTCCCTGGATTTATTCCATATTGATAAACATTGTATGTATAGTTGTTACGCTTTGACAGTTGTCAACGGCGCAACAGAAATATTTTTCTTTATTAATTAGTATTATGTCTGAAATCAAAAAATTATTATTATAACAACTCTCTTATATATTTTCTGATCTTTTTGTTGAGATTTGTAAGCCAGAATTGGCCTCCAAATAACAAAATAAAATAATATAAATATACGTAGCTTTTGACAGTGAAAAATTTTGACATAATTATAATTAACAATAAATTATATTTACTTATATTGAATTCGGGTGTACAAATTTTTTTTATTTTACCACTTGTAAATTTAAAAAATATATTGTCCCCATATAATCATTAGGAATGAGGTGATTGATACCTTTATGTTTATTTAATTATGTTTTTATATTTATTTCTTCAACATAATACATTGTAAATTATTATTTTTTAAATGTCCCAAGCCGTGTAGAGGCGGTTAAGAATATCCACTACACCATATTTTCCCGTGGGTGTCGTAAAAAGCGACAAAGGGAAACAGGCAGGAGATGGGCAGAAGTATTTTCCTGATAACAGCTAAATTAGAATAAAAAAACTGCGGTTGCCAACCCGCTCGCCAAGCGTAGCAACTATGGCAATATACCCCCATGAGCAATGACAATAATAAACGGCCCCCAGTCCCCGGCGGCTCCGCTATTCCTGGCTACGGTGGCGACCATGGTAACGGCGGGGCAGGGGGTGCTAAGAATCTCCGGTGGAGGTTCGGTTGCCACCTAAGACGACTCGACCTGGCAATATACAACGCACGCACCCTGAGGACTGACAAGAAGACCGTGAAGCTGGAAGAAGAGATAGACAAGTTACGCTGGCACATTATAGGATTATCCGAGGTCCGAAGAGAGGGGGAGGACACGGTAATCCTTGAATCCGGCAACTTGCTCTATCACCGGGAGGGCGACCATCTGTTAACAACGTTGTAAAGATTGAGAGTGTGTCGGCGAGGGTTGCGTACCTTATACTCAGAATCACCAAACGGTATTCGCTGAAGGTCATACAGGTTTACGCACCAACCTCGGCACACCCCGATGAGGAGGTGGAGGAAATGTATGAGGATATCTCTAGAGCCATGCATTCCTGCAAAACCCACTATACGGTGTTATTGGGAGACTTCAATGCAAAACTAGGCACAAGAGAGAACGGTGAGCTGAAAGTAGGGACATTTGGAATAGGGCTACGGAACCCAAGGGGCCAGCAGCTGGCCGACTTTATGGAGAAAGAGGGACTCTTTATGATGAACTCTTTTTTCCAGACGCGGCCCCACAGGAAGTGGACCTGGACAAAAAATGAGATTGACTTCATTATAACGACCAGACGATGTCTCAGTGATCGCGAGGGTGAAAACTGGTAGCGATCACCGAACGGTTAGAGGCACACTGAACCTAAACGTTAAGTTGGAGAGGTCTCGGCTGATGAAGTCAACGCTCCGTACCCCTCGTGCTCTGTTCCAAAGTCCCGAAACCTTTCAGCTCGAGTTACAAAACCGTTTTCAGTGCCTAGAAGACTGCAATGAAGTGGACGATTTGAATGACAAGCTCGTGGAAACTGTCCATGCGGTCGGAGCTAAGTTCTACAAGACCCGCCGCAGAAGAACACAAAAACTCTTCGATCACACTCTTAATCTCATGGCTGTTAGACGAGAAATGAAGCTACAGTCTTCAACAGATTTGACAGCATACAGGCAACTGAACATACAGATCGCCAATTGCATGCGGCGGGACTTACTCAACTTCAATACAGCTTGTATTGAAGAAGCGATCGAGCGGAACCAAGGCTCCAAAGTCTTTGCACGAGATCTGTCTGCCAGAAAGAGCAAACTGTCAAGGCTGAAGACCGAGTGTGGCAGCATCGTTTTCGGGGCACATGAGATTTTGAGTGAGATTGAGAGGTTCTATGGGCAGCTGTACACGTCATCGTTGGAGCCACACGCAAGTGTGAGTAACAATCCAAGAGCGAGTCTTATCCGACACTATTCCGAAGATATCCCGGACGTCAGTCTGAGCGAGATTAGAATGGCTTTCCAGCACCTTAAAAACGGCAAGTCCCCGGGCGAGGATGGAATTACAGCGGGGCTTTTGAAAGCGGGTGGAAAACCGGTACTTGAAGTCCTTCAGAAGCTCTTTGATTCCGTCCTCCATGGTGGCACTACTCCGGAGGCGTGGAGCAGAAGTGCGGTGGTCTTGTTCTTCAAGAAAGGCGACAACGCTCTCTTGACAAACTACAGACCGATTTCCCTTCTGAGCCGCGTCTACGCCCTGTTTTCGAGAGTCATTACGAATCGTCTCGCACGCAGACTTGACGACTACCAGCCTCCCGAACGAGCCGGTTTCCGAAAAGGCTTTAGTACCATAGACCACATACATACCTGTACAGAAGACAGAGGAGTATAATCTGCCACTTTGCCTTGCGTATGTGGACTATGAGAAAGCCTTGGACTCCGTCGAAATTTGGGCGGTGCTGCAGTCCCTTCAGCGGTGCCAAGTTGACTGTCGGTATATCGAAGTGCTGAAGTGTTTGTACAGTAGAGCTACGATGGCTATCCGAGTACAGAATCAGAGTACGAAACCTATCCAACTGCAGAGAGATGTAAGACAGGGTGAAGTTATATCCCCGAAACTCTTCACCGCTGCATTGGAAGACGTTTTCAAGCTACTGAACTGGAATGCGGTATTAACATCAATGGCGAGTACATCACTCACCTTCGATTTGCCGACTATATAGTCCTTATGGCAGTATCGCTGGAGGACCTAAGCACTATGCTCAATGACCTCAATAGTGTCTCCCAACGGATAGGTCTTAGATGAACATGGACAAAACAAAAATCACGTTTAATGTCCATGTCACACCTATGCCGGTAGTTGTTGGGAGCACTAAGCTCGAAGTTATTGACGAGTATGTTTACCTGGGACAAATAGTCCGACTAGGTAAGTGCAACTTCGACCGAGAGCTCAATCGACGGATTCAACTCGGCTGGGCAGCGTTCGGGAAACTACGACACATCTGCTCGTTAGGCATACCTCAAAACCTGAAAACGAAATTGTACAACCAGTGCGTGTTGCCAGTGATGACTTACGGATCTGAGACGTGGTCCTTCACTGCTGGCCGTATGAGGAAGCTCAAGGTCGCTCAGCGAGCTATGGAGAGGGCTATGCTCGGAGTTCCTCTGCGTGATAAACTTAGAAATGAGGATATCCGCAGTAGAACCAGAGTAACCGACATAGCCCAACGGATTAGTAAGCTGAAGTGGCAGTGGACCTTCCTTATACAGGCTGTCCAGTGGCAGCTTTCAAACTTTGAACAGACTTAATTTTCGAACGCAACGTAGGAGAACGGCGCGGAGGGGGTTATTCGACGTGCAAGCGATGCGGATTTTTTAGTAGCCATGGATCCGTGGAGTGGAGAGCACCGCGCTTTTGTCGTCGAGGTGTACTTTTCGAGTGGATTTTCGCTGTCTGAAGCCCGTCGTCGATTTAATAATAACTACGGTATTCGTCGAGTTCGTGATGGACCATCAATCAACCTGATTCAGTCTTGGGTAGCAAGGTTTAGAGCAACGGGATCAACAATAAATAGACCCAGACCAGGACCAACACCAACGGTAGCCACGGACGAAAATGTCGAACGTGTTATGGCTTCTGTGATTGAAAATCCTCGTTTATCACTTCGAACACGTTCATCGATTTTGGGTATTAGTAAATCAACTTTACAGGTAATAATGCGAAAAAAACTTAAATTACATCCTTATAAGATCCAAATCGTCCAAGATTTACTCGAATCTGACTTTGAATTAAGGAAAACTTACGCAGAGACGATGTTGTTGAGATTTAAAACTGCTACTCGGATCGGATAACATATTCTTCAGTGACGAAGCCCATTTCCATATCGGAGGATATGTAAATAAACAAAATTTTCGTTATTGGGATATTTCCAACCCGAGAAAATTGCATGAAGAGCCTTTACACAAACCAAAAGTCACAGTATGGTGTGCAATATCTGCGTCTGCCATAATAGGGCCTTATTTCTTCGAAAATGAACGTGGCCAAACTGTAACAGTAAATTCCGAGAGATATGCTGAGATGATCAGTGATTTTTTTAGACTAGAATTACAGAATAGTCCATACTGTAACCGGAATACGTGGTTCCAGCAAGATGGGGCCACAGCTCACACTGCTAATGTGGCCATGAGTGCAGTGCGAGAGTTGTTTCCCGAAAAAATCATATCCCGGAACGGCACCATACCGTGGCCTCCCAGGTCACCAGACCTAAGTCCGTGTGACTTTTTCTTATGGGGATACTTAAAATCTATCGTTTACAAAACAAATCCGACCACTGTGACACAGCTGAAAGAAAACATTCGAGCAGAAATCAGCAAGATTCCCCAGTCACTTTGTGAAAGAGTTTTCAAAAACATGCGTTCCAGACTCGAGGAGTGTGTTAGGGTCGATGGCCGCCATTTAGAAAACGTTGTTTTCAAAAAATAAAATCCGCCTTTATGTTCTTTATATTATAATAAAAATACTTTGCATAAAACGTGTCGTTCTTTTTTTTATAATTTTTCAAACTTTGAAATCTGCCACTGGACAACCTGTAGCTCGAAGAACCGACAACCGATGGGGAAAAAAGGTTCTCGAGTGGCAGCCTCGTACCGGTAGGCGAAGTGTAGGGCGACCCCCCACTAGATGGAGTGACGACCTGGTCAGACATGTAGGAGGTCGATGGATGCAGGTGGCTCAGGACCGTGCTTTGTGGCATTCCTTGGGGTAGGCCTATATTCAGCAGTGGACTTATGAAAGGCTGTAATGATGAAATGGAACAAAAGGTGTAAAAATAAGTAAATCTTTATGCAAAAGTTTTGATTTATTTTCACAGTACTTAAAATATATAAAAATTAATGAATTGTTAAATAATTAAAACACACATTACCAAATATACAATTATTACAAACATAGTAATTTTTATTCTGTTTAAGGTGGGATGGCTAATGGCTACAAAATGAACGATTACTTAAGTATAAAGTTATAAAACGAATATATTCATGTATGTTATTTCAAAAACAAGTAGGAACCTAAAATGACTGTACAAAATTGACATGGCTGAGCACAGACCTCTCAATCATCAAACCAGGTATTTCATCCAAGTCCTTAGAGGTGACCACGCATCTGAATTTTGATTTTTCATAGAGGATAAATGTGAATGTCTACGGGCCACACCCACAGCAACAGCATTCGCCATCACTTTTCACTTATCATTTAGTGCTCATACACTTCTCAACTTCACACATCCTCCAAATATAACTTCGTGGACATCCAGAATTGGTGTTGAGTGGGCTCTTTACGATTGCTATTAAATAATTTAATGATGCCAGCAGGTATCTATCGAACTTAGTTGCTCATGTATTATATTATATGAAATATATCACGATTTCATAATTAAAAGAATCAGTTATTGTTAATGGTATTAAGATTAAAGGAAGGATGGATTGCAGAATTATTAATACGAGACTAAAGAAGCAGATCCAAAACCAAATACATATGTGATAAAAAAAATATTATCAGGCAGTGAACTTTTACAGAATGAAGATGATATGTAGAGAAGTCAGAACCAAAATTTCAACCTAATATTCACCCTCTCATACATGCTTGGTTTCTATATTTAAAAAAAATTGTTTTACCTTTTGACCTTTTTACCGTGCAGCGTGGAGTAGGTATCTATCTATCTATCTATCTATCTACATGAAAAACAAAATACTGATAACAGCTTAGAGCTATTTAGTAGTTTCATTATAACTGTTGTAAGTAACCAAACTTATAGCTAGTAATAGAAGCAGTTTTTAATTCTAAAAAACCGGCCAAGTGCGAGTCGGACTCGCGCACCGAGGGTTCCGAATAAACCCGTAATATATAAGTTTAAAATTATTAAAAAAAATTTTATTATATGATGTAACTAAAAATTTATGCTTTTCGCAATTTTTCCTTTATCTGTGCTTTATAGCACGTTGTTCATACCAAATACGTTGCTTCGTACCAAATTTTAAGATTCTGAGTTCACAGGAAGTACCCTGTAGGTTTTGATTCCCTTGCGAATGACGAAAATTTGAGGCATAAATGGCTGTATCTTTTGATTGCGTTGGCTTAGAAGTTTGATTTTTTCACAGGGACAGTAGACTTGAGTATTTGATATGAATTTCAGCTTGATACCTCCACGCGTTCCTGAGACAAAGTGATCCTATAAGGGTTCCGTTTTTTCCTTTTGAGGTACGGAACCCTAAAAACATGAAGAATAAAACATAATATATTGAATATATTTTGTTTATCCTAATCAATAAGATAAGCCATCCCTTACTGTTTATATCAATTGTCTCATTATGGAATATAGAATACAATGGAATATAAAATACAGACATCAATTAAACAAAAAAAAAAAGAAAATATGACATTCAGAACCCATTAAAAATGATTGAAAACAAATCTTTAAATATCATAAGAGATATCATTTAACTTTTTCCTTCCCCTTCTCTAATCTTTCTTTCAAACCATCTCTCACTATTTTATGAAACGAAAGTAAAATTAATGCCATAATAGCCCGGAGGAATCCCAATGAGAAAATTTGCAACAGCACTTGGCCGGGACTCTCAATTGAGCCACAGTTCAAAATTGACAGCAATTTTCCACTGAATCCATACACCGAGTAAACTTTTCCTTTCTGAAACAGAAATTTTATTCTATTAATAATTTTATCGTGTAAAATATGAAATATGATATTTATACAAATATTAGTCAACTTCTTCAACAATCTTGTTCTTCTACAGATCCCATCATTATGGATTTTATTCCACAAAGAACCCTGTGAATAACCTAGCTTACACTAGCCCATAGCTTACTAAGTGATATTGAGATTCCTCCTCCATCAATGCATTGTAAAGTTTATTTTCTGAATAGAAGTCAACTTACCAACCTCTTACGTATTAGTTTAGCTAAGCAAAAGTTGTGTTCCAGTTAAAGGATAAGAGAACTGTATTATTACAGGCTGTGACACCTTTGAGGACACAAATGGCTGCCTCACAGCCAGCTGTAGAACTTTGTTGCATGTATCTTATGACCAGTTACCATTAGGTGGAATAGAAGCATAATATTTGCAACTCAAATATTGTTTGAAGTCATTTATTGCAATATGTATTACATCACATACATTTTAATTATATTTCAAACTTATTCCTACTACATAAATACAATTACAGCCTATAAAATTCCACTGCTGAACATAGATTGCCTCCTAGGAGAGAATTTGCCGTAGTTGCCACGCCTGGCAGGTTGGCAACTGCGGTTTTTTATTATTTTGATTTGTTATCAGGAAAATGTTGCTGCCCATCTTCTATATCAGTTTCTCTCTGTCGATTTTCACAAGACCCACAGGTCGATATGGGATATTGGATATTCTTACACTGCCACTACACGGTACATGGTTACCATGTATATAGGGTCACACTTGTAATCCCCAAGGGCATAGGCAATGTCCAAGGAGCAGCAAGCTACTCAGACCATAGGTACCCAAAAATATGGAATGAAATGGAAAATTATAAAAGTGTGACACTTTCAAGAATAGATTTGATAAAATCTCCAAACATTAAAATGCACATGCATCAGCCTTTAGCTGCTAGTGTGATAATGTATTAATAATAATAATAATGTGATAGGTGGCTAGCCCATTGCCTAAACAACTGCAAGTCCATATTTAACCACAATAATTATTCCCCTTTTACAACATGCTAGGAAAGTAATACAGTTGGCACATTCTTTTTGTTATAAGTCCTACATTAACATCAGAGCTATAATTCCTGGGACCTAATGAACATGCCTAATACTTTGCTTGAAAAATCATTTAATTTATCACCTACATTCTCTCATCTGTGTGAAGTTCTACAAATCAATAAGGTTCCTAAATAATTATAGCCAACACTGAAATTTTAAAAGGGGTCACTGTAAACACCAATTTATGTACAAAAAGTGGCAGTAAAACAGTAGTAAAATAAACTAGAGTGGGCAAGATTCAACAATAATGTTTACAGTTTATTTAACAAAAACGGTTATGTAAAATTTTTGCTTTTGACACATTGTCATATAATCAATTATTATCCAATATTTGTTTGCGGGAAAACTAACCAGGAGATTGACAGTAGCATCTTAATATTAACAACAAAAACCTGCAGTTGCCAACCAGCCTAGCAAGCTAAGTAACTATGACAAATATCCCCTTATGATTCAATCTATGGAGAGGCCTGCCTTTAGCAGTGGACTTTGATGGTTTGTAATGGATGGATGGTTACAACGGTTCAAAAAATGATATGATCATACCAAAGCATCATGTATCATTTTCTTGCCAACTTCTTCTGGTGACTGCAATCCTCCTGAGCCTGATATTAGTTTAGTTTCTTTGGGTTTAGTAAGCTCTTCAATTTGAAATCCAGGAGTGTCTGTATCAGGTGGGAATGCCAGCATGAGTCTTACATTAGTACCAACTAATTCCATTAGCACAGATTCTGCTAGACCACGGATAGCCCATTTTGCTGCACTGTAAGCACTGTAGCCATAAATTCCTAAAATGAAAGTTTATTACAAGAAACATGAATTGCTATGTTATGCCCCATTAGTGCCATAAAATTAAAATTAAAGAAGTGCTAATAAAATATACAATATACTTAATAGCAAATAATTAATAGCATGTGTGATTGGTGATATATTATGTTTAACCCAAAAACTTGATTTAAAATTATCTTCAATCTTATTTCACGCTTGAATGGAACTAAACCCTCAATCAAAATTTACTAGGAGCACAGCTACAAGACTTGTTTTTTCAAACCAACACAACCATCAACACATTGATGTATTAGGTATAAATTAATTTGTCTCTATAATATTGTCTCATATGGCCATCGATTGTTACACCTGCTCTGAACTAAATTAACAAATAGACCAATGACCAAATTAGCTTAGGTAAATCAGTCTATTCAATTCAGTGTTTGAAAATATTTCGTTATCATACATTGTTCATGAACAACACAAGACCAATATTACTTACCAAGCAAAGCTGCTTCAGAAGATACAAATACTACAATCCCTTCATTTCTATCTTTCATCCCTTTTAAGACATATCTTGTTGGGTAAGCAGTGCCAAAATAATTAAGGTCTATCATTTGCTTAATATTTTCAACTTTCATGTTCTCAAATTGGCCACAAATGCACATGCCGGCACAATTTATAAGCATAAAAATTGGACCTATATTAATTTCTAGAGCTGACAGACTTTTCTCTATAGACAAATAGTCTGATGTAACATCCAAGACAGCATATTGAATTTTTTGTTCATCCTGAGCTATACACACATTAGAAATGTCCATAACAGCACTTTTAAGTTTTTGCTCATCGCGGCCTATAATAGTTACATGAGCGCCTAATTTAGCAGCCTCTACTGCTGCAGCTTTACCAATACCACTGGATCCCCCAGTAACTACCACATGCTTCGATTTTAAATTTTTATAAATAATTTTCTTGTCTAAGCATAAATACAAGATTATGGCTAAAACGCATATTAAAAGTACAATTATGGTGTTAATAATGATAAAAATCATTATGAATGATGTCTATAAAATTATGAATAATTTTAAAGTAGTAAATACACAAGCAAACAACTTCCAAATTTAAACCACGTTAGAACATCATTTTTCAGACTTCAATAGTTTGAAACACAGAATACTTTTACTCTTAGCGGAGAGTTTGAAACAATTTCAATCAAAAGTACAATTTCAATTAAAAATACAATTTTTGATTTTAAGTTTTAACACCGCTTAATCAGCTTATCACTTTTTTTTAATTTAAAGGGATGTGAAAAAATAATCGATTTTCATATTAATCGATCATTTATTTTTACTTATAATCGATTTTTAAAAGTTGATTTTTTTGATAATAAAAATCGATTTTTAATAAATCGATTACGTGAATTACGTGTTTTAATCGATTTTTGTAATCGGCGTCATCTGAGCGATGGATGTAAAAACGTGAAGTTCAATATCATGAATAAAAGTAGACCAAAAGAACAGCATCATCTGTGCAATAGATGGAAAAACGCGAAGTAAGTTCACTAACATTAACAAGTCATCAAAAGACGGCACCACCTGTATGTATCTCTATGTATGTAAAACAGTTTTGTCTTTCGTATGTTTTCAACAGTTTTCTTTCTCCCATAGGAGAAAGTATTCTGTGGATTTCTTTCTTTTTTTAGAGTGTAAATAATTGTTAAACAATAAAAATGTCTTGTAAAACACCTAAAAGTGGCTGAAGGAAGTATTTTATAATTAAAAAATAATAGCAGCCAACACGTCAATAGGCAAAAATACTGAATTGGACCTATATATTGCGGCACCACTATTAAATCTCAAGGCAGATGCCCTCAATACATGGAGCTCTGAAAAAACTTTCTCTAAACTAACCGAATTGGCTCTTAAACACCTCTTTGTGATGGCCAGTTCCGCCCCAGCCAAAAGATTATTTTCGAAAGCGGGAAATATTTTCAGGAAAAAACGAAACGGTATTTTACAAAACAGACGAAGAAGAATGTTAGAAAAATTATTGTTTTTTAAACTCTTTAACTGCAAATTCATGGCAATATTTTTTTTTTTTACTTTTTTGTTTACACAAGTTTAAAAAAGATTTGTCTTGTATTTTAGTTTTGAGACCAAAAGGTTGTCGTTTATAATTATATTTTTATTTTATTTTCATTCTAGTGCAATGTAAATGAGACTAAACATTAGTGGCAATAATAATTTATAGTCTTTTTTGTTTAAACTTAAAGTTTTAAAAAAGATTTATTTTGTATATTAGTTTTGAGACCAAAAGGTTTGATTATTTAAGCTTATACTTTTATTTTATTTTCATCCTAATTCAAAGTCAATGGTACTGACCATTTGTGGCAATAATGATATTTAGATTTTTTGATTGTTCAAACTTACTTTAAAAAAACTATCGATTAAACTTATCGTTTCTTTTATTTTGGTTCTAATAAATTATTAAATGACATGTATATAGTAGCAGTAATTATTTTTAGTTTTTTATTGTTAAAAGTTATAGGTCAAAAAAAATTGTTTTGTAGTTTAGTTTTGAAATCAGAAGATTATCGTTCTGATTATTTTTTATACTTATTATTTTATTAGAATTTTGTTCTGATAAATTGTTAATGTTATCCTAATCTAGTAGTTTTATTAATATATAGGAAAGCAGGCATTTTTTCGAATAATTTTTTTCGCAAAAAACGATTATTTCTTCTAATAAAAATCGATTTTTCTTAAATCGATTAATATCTTAAAGCAAATAATCGATTTTTTAGTAATCGATTTTTTTCACTCAATGTCACATCCGTAGGTTTATTTTTTTTTTTGGAGTTTATGGCCTGGTATCTAGACCTTTAGGCCAAGTCTTAAGTATTTTTATTCGGTTTATTGTAATTTTCCCACTCCTTCATAGTATACTGCTTCACAATATGTTGATGCGTCACATTGTGCAGTTCTTGGGAGATTTTGGCGGCAACTTGATCCAGCAGACAGCTGATAGTTGGCGATGGTATCTAAAGGTGCCTATGCAAACAAACAGCTTATCTTCAGAATCCATCACCATCAGAGCACTTGTTTCACTGTTTCCACTAATAGTTCACATGCGTAGACACTTAATACACAAAATCGCAACACTTTTACATATCAAAGTCCACTTCAAACCATTATTTAAACAATAATACAGGAGCAGCAAACCGCCGCCGGTCAATTTCCCGCCAAAACTCTCATCCGTAGGTTTACGGCTCTGGGCAGTGTTGCCAACTGCTAGCTTTACCCAGTTGTTAGACATTTTTCAAAATGTTGCTACATTACCAGCTTTTCTTACCCCAAAAAGTTGCTAGAAGTAGCTAAATGTTATGGCTCCAGTACACGTTGGCCGAGCGCGCTCGACGAGTGCGCTCGGCCAACGTGTACTGGGCCGTTTTGTATATAGTTGGCGTTTGCGGCCAACGCTCGCCGACGGGCCGTATAGTGTCGGTTTTCCGTGCACAAATCAAAGGAATTTGGCGCAAGCCGCAAACAGTGTTCACACGTTGGCCGAGTGTTCAGTTCATAGTTACGCGTCGGAGTAGACTGTAGTGTCGGCTTAATAAAATTGTTTCAACATAGCGACATGGACTAATGAGTAAATATTTATTTATTTATTTAACAGTTTATGTACACACATAATTCGATAGGAAAATGGTAAAAACGTAATACAAGTACAAAAATACAAAAAAGTAATTGTACATAACAAAGGCACTGCCTATTCCATGATGAAATTTCTTCCAGCAGGCCTATTGAAGGATAGTTGAAGGAAATAGAGGTAATCAAAGTGTGTACTTACATAAATATACATATACAATACAAATATATACATATACACACACACACATATATATATATATATATATATATATATATATATATACGCATGTATATATATAAATAAATATTATATATTATGAAAAAATATATAATTCAATATAATATATTTTTAATGTTACTTATATGCATACCAACCCATTACGATTTAATAATTATGGAGTGAAATATTGATTCATTGTTCATTGATTGATTCTCACAATGAATCAGTTATATGGAACCCCAAACATGAGCAACATAAAAATAAAACCAGAGTAAGTAACTTGCCTAACTGCATTAAATAATACATGTTTAGTTGCGATTTCAGAGTACCTACCTAATGATAAATATTATTATAAATTATCTCTGCGTTTATGTTGCTCAGGGATAATGTAGCTTAGGGGCTTCTTTTGGGCTATCATTTATTTTAAAAAAACCCCCAGCGAAGCGGGCACGGATCAGCTAGTAAATCCTATAAAGGTTTCTTTTTCCTTTTGAGGTCGGAACCCTAAAAAGGACAAACTGGGATTATTGTTGTATGTGTAGTTTTTTTTTCGTTCACTCTGAGAAGGGTGAAGCGCTGTATAAGTATATGACAGCGGCCGCGATTGCCCTAACGTCCATCATCATCTAGCTACCAACGCAGAATGAAACACGCCAACGTGTGAACGGCACCACGAAAATCTGCCGAGTGCGCTCGCCGAGCGCGCTCGGCCAACGTGTACTGGAGCCATTACAGTACGTAGTTAGATTACAACAAAGAGTATAGTAATATATATATAATATGACATTTTATTGTAATCTTATACAATAAAATGTCATACTACTCAGTTAAACACAACTAAGTTCCTTCATTCGACACCAAAAACCACGTCGCGATAAGATTCAAAATACGCCTCGTTGACGCGTAAACTAACAAGCCAACACACACAAAAAAGGGCACTAAACGCGACGACACGATTATAATGATTTCCTGATGAACAACCGGGAGAAGCTCTCGAACAAGGAATGCGCGGTTCGAACCCTAGACCGTATATCTACTCGACGCGCGTGTGCACAATTTCGCATCCCCAAACAAAAAAAGACAGCGTGCTGTCCCAAGCACAGCTGGCAAACGACTCCTTTGCGCTCGCGCGCTCTCGCCACACCCAAGCTAGGCCGAACGTCAAATCGGTATGGCACCGAGCCGCGCGCCCTCTGACGTCGATTCCGAAACCAACGTTCGGGCGTGAACACAGTATTAGAAATTAAGATTCTTTGTAATACTAATTTTTTCAAAGCTTATGGATGCCATACAAAAATATATTGACATTAGACTGAAATATCTTGAACGTATAACTACGATCAGACAAAATGGCAATTTTATAATAAGTTAACCACTTTAAGAGACAGTAAATTGATTGGATTTTTGTATTTGATTAGAAAACATCGTTTTTAGATGTTGTTACTGCACATTTCACTATGGCAACTTAAAATTCATGTAAATACCGGCGAGAGAAACAATCAGCGCGCGTGTCCTTTCGAGTCTGTCATACCCATGCTTACCGTTCATACACACTAACGCGCTCTCTATACTCTATATACTCTGTTAGGACGGCCCCATACATACGGAATTACATTTCGGGATTCCGTTTCGATATTCCGATTCGGGATTCCGTGAATGCATCACACACATACGTTTATTTCCGTTCGGAATAGCAAGGGTCAATTGAGAGACGTTAGCCACTGAGTCTAGACATTCTGCTAGCGAATAATGACGACGATTTTCTGATTGTGATTCCATTGTTGTTGTGTCATTCTTAATAGGTGCATCTCCTTTTTTTTCCTGTGGCAACCCATGTGACTAGTTGTAAAATAATTTCTCCCAACTATTTAAAAAAATTAAATATTGTAAATTGATAATATCCACCTCAATTTTGAGTTACAGCTGTTAAATACGACTTATTTGTATTTGTGAAATAAGTAAAACTCAGAAGTACCTATTTTAATTACATTGTGTTTAGTGTTCCAAGTTCCAACCAAAAGTAACAGCTGTAACGAACATCGTTTAAAATTACAGTAAGTGTAATTCTTGTTATCCTTTTAACATTTTAAGATTTACCTATTAAGTAAGCATTGTTCTGGATTTCATTTTGAGTTATTTACATGCTAATTTAATTTGAGATCTGTAAATAAACCCATAC